GAGCCCCCGCCAACCACTTCGAAATAGCTGTGTACTGCCAGCCATACACACACGCACGCACACAAGCGTACGCACACACACACACGCAAGCATATGCACACACACACACACACACACACTTACGCACAGACACATACACACACACACAGGCACAGGATTTTCACTTCACACATACAGCCTTTGACCCAACACATCTAACCTTTCACCTCACACATTCAGCCTTTGACCCAACACATCTAACCTTTCACCTCACACATTCAGCCTTTGACCCAACACATCTAGCCTTTCACCTCACACATCCAGCCTTTGACCCAACACATCTAGCCTTTCACCTCACACATCCAGCCTTTGACCCAACACATCTAACCTTTCACCTCACACATACAGCCTTTGACCTTGGACCTTATACACCCAGCCTTTGACCTTGGACCCTATACATCTAACCGTTGACCTTTAACCTCACACATCTAGCCTTTGACCGTACACATCTGACCTTTGACATCACACATCTAACCTTTGACCTTAACCTCCCACACCCAGCCTTTGAGTGGAAAATAGTCCCCACCACTAAGCCTAAACAGACAAAATCTGGGGAAAAAAACAACATTCAGATTAAATACCGTACTGGTACTAAACTCAACTTCCAAATTTTCTCAGATACATCTATCATATAAAAAATCAGGTAGAAAAATAAAAAAGATTGTAATCCAACACTTTCTAAAATAAGAACAAAATTTTCACCTGCGGTTTTCTCGTAACAATGGAAATGGCACTCAAGACTTGAGACAATTTGATTTTCACGGTTCAAAAACTCAATGATGTTGAATAAATCTCCACTTTCCCGCATTACAAATACTCGCCAACGTCGAATAAACCTCCACTTTCAACTGTCACTATCAAATAAACCTCCACTTTCCCCTGTCAATGTCGAATAAACCTCCATTTTCCCCATCAATGTCGAATAAACCTCCACTTTCCCCAGTCAATGTCGAATAAACCTCCATTTTCCCCCGTCAATGTCAAATAAACCTCCATTTTCCCATCAATGTCAAATAAACCTCCACTTTCCCCCGTCAATGTCGAATAAACCTCCATTTTCCCCCGTCAATGTTAAATAAATCTCCACTTCCCCCTGCCAATGTCGAATAAACCCAGTCACAAATACTCGCCGATGTTGAATAAACTTCCACTTTCAACCGTCAATGTCAAATAAATCTCCACTTTCCCCTATCAATGTCGAATAAACCTCCACTTTCCCCTGTAATACTAAACAAAACTCCTCTTTTCCTTGCCAATGTCGAATAAACCCTCGTCACAAATACTCGTCGATGTCGAACCCCTCCGACGCCTGATTCTCTGTGGGTATGACAGGATAAGGTTCCTCCTCCGCATCCCCTCCCGGCTCGTCTTCGCTGTCGTCCGAGATCTGAAGGTCGCTGTTGATGTCTCCGCGACCCTCCGCCTCTGCCTGGGCCGTGGCTAGGGCGCTGTTCTTGAAGAACTCGCTCGGGTCAAAGCTGTCGCCCTCCTCCCCCTCCTCCTCAAACCCCTCCCCTTCCTCTCCGCCAAACTGGTCTGAAAAACATTCATTAAAGAATAAACATTTTAAAAAATGATTGTTTTTCTTCTATAATTAGATCCACTGAATCAATAACAATAATTCTTCTTTTGCTTTTGTAAGGTTTTACGGCGCTTGCAACTGCATAAGGTCATATGAGCGCCAAGGGGTGGGTGTCAACAGAGAAGTCCAAACAAGAATCAGGCTTACTCTGTTCACCTCTCTAGCTTCAACAGCACAAGGTCTGCTTCGACTATTAAGGCACCCCGGAAATAGCGTGTCACAAGAGAGTGACAAACATACAAAAGAAGTAGAGGAAGTGACAATAGTAAGGATGAAGAAAGAAAAAACAGCAGTTCCCCCCCTACGTTCCAGCACAGTATGAGCATGACTTTGATAAATCAGCCTATTTACAATTCTACTGAGCACAAGAACATGTTAATATCCCCTCTTCGGGAATGGCCTATTCTTCTGTTTTTTAGTTTAGTTTTAGTAGAGGTTTTACGGCGCTCGCAACTGCATAAGGTCATAAGAGCGCCAGAAGATTAGCGCGTTACAAGAGAGTAACAAATATAAAAAAGAAGAAGAGGAGATAAGGACGACAGATCTTCGATAGGAAAGAAGGAGCAAACCACAGCAGAGCACCCGCCAACCACCCGCGCCTATTCTTCATCAAGACCGTGAATTATTTGACTCAACACAGCAGGGGGTCAATGAACCATCATAACACGCGCAAAGAAAGGAGGTAACAACTATTTGACAGTCCCAAGACATGAAGGGACCAGACAGAAATGTTATTGGGCTTAGTTAAAGGAAGAGTTTTGCGGCATTTGCCACACAATAAGGTCATATAAATGCCAAAGAATAAAAGTATTACAAGAGAGAAACGTACACAAAAAAGGAGGAGGAGAGATCAGGATGATAGACGTTTGATAGGAAAGAAGAAGCAAACCACACCAGAGCACCAGCCAACCATCCACAACCACAAGCAAAAGAGCCGTATGGAGCGACTGACCGTAGGCCAACTATTAAAGCGTTTCACCAAATGTCAGAATGGTCTCCTGCACCTACCCCCTGACTCCCCCGCAGCATTGTCGAAGTAGGACCGCGCGTTCTCGTCAAAGCCTCCCACCTCCCCCACCTCCATGGGTTGCCCGTCTTGTAACAGCTCGCTCGACTCGTTCAGGGTGCCTGAGGGAGAGAGAGAGAGAACGACGATGACACGGTGAGGCTCGGTAGATTACAGGCAAGATACTCACCAGCACATCACGTAACAGTTACATTCCTGAACTAGACACACACTCACTCACTCACCCACTCACTGACGCACACACTCATCTACTCACTCACTGACCCACCAACCCACCCACTCACTCCCTCACTCATAGACTCATTTTTTCCAGACACCAGAAACAAGCGCTCGTTTATTCACAAATCAAAAATTCTCCACCACACAGACGCTGCACTCACCATTTCTGTCTGCATTAGTCTAGACAGACACAGACACAATGACAGACAACCACTCACACAAACACAATGACACAGACAGACAGACAGAAACAGACACAGATACACAGACACAAAAATACATACACACACACACACAGACAGACATAGACACATCCCTCACCAGTACTATCCATCCCTGCGTCCTCGTCCTCGTCCTCCTCCTCCTCCTCATCCTCGTTATCCGACAGCTGTAGATCCTTAGCCAGCGCGTCTTCCTCTCCCTCTCCCTCCGTGTAGCTTTCGTCCTGGAGCTGGCACAAACAGACAAATCATATCATCAACCACACAGCTCTTTACCTGTAGTTTTATAGTTGCTGAAAGTTTTAGTCAGAGTTTTTTTTACAACATTTGTAAAGCAATAAGGTCATATAAGTGCCAAAGAGAACAAGTGATTATCTTCCGACTAAGGACACAACACACAAGACTGAGACAACATATTATGTACAAATGTTTTAAACTAGTACAATCACCAAAATGCCAGTGTGAAGAGGCGGACCAAACTGTTGAACACATCCTTCAGCACGGCAAGCCACACAGGGCCCTGAGACAGGATACGTGGCCAACCCCTCTGACGCTACAAGAGAAGCTATACGGGCCGCCAGATGAACTGAGCAGGACGGCCCAATTTATGACAGATACCGGACTTCAAGTGTGATGCGATCGAGAAGAAGAAGAAGAAGTGTCGAAGATTAGAGGTGTTACAAAAGAGCAACAAACACAAAAAAGAAGGAGGGGAGATAGTTTTAGTTTTAGTAGAGGTTTTACGGCGCTCACCACTGCATAGGTCATATGAGCGCCAGAAGTCTGAGAAGATTAGGTGTTACAATAGAGTAACAAACATAAAAAAGAATAAGGGGGAGATAAGGACGATAGACATTTGATAGGAAAGAAGAAGCAAACCACACCAGGGCACCCGCCAACAACCCACACTTGTAGTTCTAGTCAGTTTTACGGCACTTGTAACACAATTAGGTAATACAAGTGCCAAAAATTAGAGGTGTTACTAGAGAGCAACATAAAGAGAAAAAAAATATAAGAACATTAGATTTTTTAAAAGGAAAGGAGAGAGAGAGAGAGAGAGAGAGAGAGAGAGAGAGAGAGAGAGAGAGAGAGAGAGAGAGAGAGAGAGAGAGAGAGAGAGAAGATAACAAAGAGAGAAAGAAGAAGAAGAAGACGAGAAGAGAACTGGTCCAGGAGAGAGATAGACAGAAGAAGAAAACAAGGAGAGAGAGAAGGAAGTAGCAGACAGCAAGGAGCGAAAGAAAGTAGCAGAGGAGACCGACCTGTGCCAGCTGCATGGATTCCTCGTCCCCCTCAATGTCCACAAACTCTGTGTCTGATGCCAGCGGGCCGCTCTGGAGACAGATACATAATACGTACAGATAGATAGATACCTGCATACGTATACAGGAAAAGATACATAGATACATGGACAGATAAATACATACATAAAAGGTACAGATAGATACATACGTACGTACGTACATACGTATACATGGACAGATAGATAGATACATACGTACACATGTACAGATATATATATAAATACACATGTACATACATACGTACACACACATATAGATATGGACAGATACATATGCACACATGTACAGATTAAACATACATACATACATGTATATACATATGTACTTATAGATAGATAGGATAGAGAGATAGATAGATAGATAGATAGATAGATAGATAGATAGATGATAGATAGATAGACAGATAGATGATAGATAGACAGACAGATAGAGAGATAGATAGATAGAGAGATAGATAGATGGTAGATAGATAGACAGATAGATAAATAGATAGATGGTAGATAGATAGATAGATAGATAGACAGACAGACAAAAGACAGACAGACAGACAGATAGATAAATAGATAGATAGATAGATAGATAGATAAATAGATAGATAAGATAGATAAATAGATAGATAGACAGATAGATAAGATAGATAAATACACAGATAGATAGATAGATTACAGCACTTGTAACACATATAGGTCATATAAGAGCAGTGGACTCGAATTTTTACCAGAGAGTAACGTACAAAAGAAATAAGGAGGGAAGATAAGGACGATAAATGTTCGATAGCAAAGCAGGAGCAAACGACATCAGAGCACCTGCCAACCTCCCATGCGATCGCCAGTAAAGAGGTTTATTTCTGTCAGCTGGGAAACTGTACCCCACTCAGCCCCAACAGATGACCCAGACCGGCAGAGTGGAAAAGCAGCCGGACTCCTAAAAGACCTCAGTAGCGTGGGCAACAAGAAGGACTCACCTTTGAGTTTTCGTTTTCGTTTTAGTAGGTAGAGTTTTACGGCACTTGCAACACAATAAGGTCATAAAAGTGCCGAAGATTAGAGGTGTTGCAAGAGAGTAACAAACACACACAAAAAAAAAGGAGGGGAGATAAGGACGATAGATGTTTGGTAGGAAAGAAGGAGCAAACCACACCAGAGCACCCGCCAACCACCCACTGACCTTGGAGAAGTCGGCG